TGGATACATGATGACAAGGGACTGGACAGGTTGAAATTTGGCCACAACCGCTTTTCTTTCCCCCACTATAGGACTCCATGCACCATTTTGAAGACCCTAACTCTTGCTAAAGCAAGACCTCAGAACCTTAGGACCACAACCCTAGTTGATCTTCCACTGCTTCAAGGGGCTCCACTTTAGACACATAATGTCAGATGTCTGCCACTTGGAAGGGAAAAGTAGAGTCTTTCGCTCTTCCTTGGAGTCTCATCACGTTCACGCACCAGAGAGAGACAGAGAAACAGAGAGAGAGAGAAAGGAGAGAGCAATCCCCTCCCTCCCATAAGATATGATCACACCACAATTTTTTCTCCTTTTTTTTTTTCTCCTTCTTTTGGGATTTTAGACACTTACCCACATTTGTCCAGCATGTTTCTCAAGCTGTCAGGTCTAGAATTCGAGCTGCATGGTCAGCCATGTGGGGCCCAGTTCCCTTAACCATCAAGCCACAGAGCCAGCCTCAGATGGTTATTTTCAAGTTAACAACAATAGAACAGACAAGAGTCAATTTGTTCATACTTTCAGCCTTCTCTTTTAATCCTTTCTATATGCTGATAAATCCCAGTTTCTTTTCTTTCTTTTTTTCTCCAGGAAAGACTTACCTACTTTGAATTCCAGATTCTTATATCCCTATCTTTCTCACATTGCCCCTTGGATCTTCAAAGAACAGACATTGGGAATTATTATTTCTACAGAGCTTGGTTATTTCCATTGACAGGACCCAGAACACCTCTGCAGCAGTGCCTACCCCAGAGTGCAGGGAATGATTATGAAGACTAGGAGAAAATGGAATTCTTCCCTGAGTATGCCACTTAGTAGGCCCCGGTGAGATCCTGACCTGCTTCTCTGGGGTTTTCCCATCCGTTCTGACTGTGCTTAGTCCCAGGGAGTATCCACATATTGCTTCAGCTTTAGAGTATGCACTTGCTTGTTGTTGCTGATTTTCAGCCTTATGGTATCTCTTGCTATAGCTGGGAATCTTCTCAGGGACATTTGGGTATCATTTTACTTATTTTTAATATTTTTTTCTTGGGACCTGCAGATGTGTAATGGTTACATTGCTGGACTCCCACATAGCTGACCGCAGTTCAAGTCTCAGACCCAGAGGCTTGAAACATATCGGGCATGTGTGCGTGCATGCTCGAAATGGAGGAGAAGGGATTGTGGCGTGGCCATCCCCCCTGGGGGGTGATTTCTTGCTTTCTGTCTCTGTCTCTCAAGTTATATATATTTCGTATATGAGAGAGGAAGAGAGAGAAGTACCCATCAGTGGGCCATGGTCATGCCACATCCTTTTCAAGTCATCAGGGCCAGGATTAGAATCACTGTTGCCTATGTGGGATTTGGCTCTCTGTCCAGTGCTGATGGGCTGGCCCTGAATTCTCATATTTTTTATAAAAAAAAAATTTAGAGAGATTTTTGCTATTGGACATGTGCACTCATCAGAGAGAGAGAGAGAGAAAGTGAGAAATCACCCCCCAGAGGTGATGGCCATGCTGCAATCCCTTCTCCTCCATTCCCCTCCTGGGCTTTTGGGCATACACACACGTGACAGTGTGAGTTTCAAGCTGCTGGATCTGAGACTCCAACCACGGTCGACCATGTGGGAGTCCAACACCTTAATCACTATACCACCTGCTGGCCTAGGTTCTCATTCTAGAACCTACCAGACATCCTAGTCTCCAGCCTTCTCTTCAGATAATGTCCCTTATCTAGCTGGTAGCTGTCAGGGGTGTCCCGACATTCTTTTTGCTTCCTCTAACCCTGAGCTTCAGCATCTGTTTCTGTGGGAAAAACTAAACATCTTCTTCACCCTCTGAGGAATACAGAGACAGGAAACAAATAATGGGAGGTTGCTACCATCCTTTTCTTCCTAGCTCCACCTTCATCATTGTCCCTACTCACTCTGCTGAAACAGGCAAGCTTCCTGACTTCCGAAATCTCCAGGCAGAGACAGGAGCCAGTCTCTTATACACCACCATATTGGGTACCTGGGCTCTGGTGAAAGGACGCTTAGGGTAAGTGAGGGGTAGGTGGAAGCTATTAAAGCTCCCCCTCCTTATCAACAGAAGAAATAAAATGCAATCATATATCTTTATGGACTTTGCAGAGAAATGCCACTCTCCAAAACCTGGAAATGTAAAAGTTATTCCTCAGGGAAGTGTGGGTCCACAGCTGAGACAAGGCTCTCCAGCTGGTCTAGGCCTTTGTGCTGACAGGTCTGCCCCTTAGCCCTCATCATCCAGCAGGTCCAGCGGTACCCAAACGTGTTTGGGGTAAGCCAGGATGCTGCATGGAGTGTGTGGCAAGCCCTGATAGGACAAGCACAGTAGCGGCTGCTAGGGTGCAATACAGTATATATTGGGTTATTGGGAAAGTCATGAAGTGTTTTTTTCTATATTTTTCTTTGCAAAAATGCATCATGAGTTTTCTGACAACCCAGTGCTATGAACCAGTAACCAATGTATAGAGCTGTTTCTCCCACTGTCGAGATTGGTAAGTTTAGGAACAGAAGAGTGGAAATAAGGGTGATAGCTGTCATAATTCCACCTGATCCATCTGCAAGTTTTACTTCCCATACCTGCAACTGTGATCTCTGCTAGTTTTGAGGTTTTCGTTTCCTAGGAAGAAACACTTTAGATATAGAACAAAACAGAGGTTCCAATGAATTTCGAGCCACTCTTAGCTCATGGAGCCACTCAAAAATGGTGATTACGTTGTTTGTGCTGTAGAATGAAGATAGGGTGAAATATGGGTGATACTCAAGGGCTATCCTAAGGTACTTTCTTATACTACAATCCTGAGAGGGTACATGACAGAGTACTGAAAGCCTGCAAATGGCAGCTCAGGGCTCAGACTCCTCCAGAATGAAGGACTGAGCCACTCCCTCCCCACAATAGGTAAAACAAAGGGAAGGTGGAATCGATAGAGAAGACATAAATAACAGA